CAAATAAAGAATCTTGTATTTTGAAATAATTTTTTTATTTCTATCGATTATAATTTCTATTTGTTCCTAGGTGAACCATTAACTTTCGATAAAAAATCATATTCAAAAGTTGCTGCATATCGTACAGGATATAGTAATGGAATTCAAGATATTTATGAACATATAGAGAAACATACAAATGATAAACAACTTCTTAGTAATCTTTTGCAATATATCGACGAAAAAGAAATTGAATTAAAAGATTTAACAGGTTAGAACTCTAACTAAAAGAGATATAATAAAAACCATGAGCAAATCTCACAAATTTCGAATAATATTTTTCATATATTTTAGTTATATGTGATAAGAAAGACATTTTAAAACGTCAAATATCTTCCTTAAAAAATCTTCGCAAGTATATATTGACAAACCAAATTCGAATGTTGATCAATTTTCTATATCTAATATGAACAAATCACAAGCTGAAAACATTTTCCAATCTTCTATCAATGAAGAAATTAATTCAATTAGAAAATCAGAAGTACCAATATTTGTTTTACATCCATCTGGTACACATTATATTCCGATGTGTATTGATTCATTAATTGTTTTCAATACATTTAATAATAATAAATTTAATCAAACTCAGATATTATCGATAAATGAACAACCTCATTGTCATCCTGTATCGATTCCAGTGAATTTTAATCCAGTTTTAACTCTATCAGATCAATATGAACTTGATATTCAAAATATAAATGCTGTCGCTACTAGATAATAAACAAATGTAAAACATAGATAATTATGTAATTGGCTCTTTTGTTTTTGTATGTTTTGCATATCATCATGAATGGTTTTTTTCCCTTAACAATTTGAACAATACTGAACGAGAAAGAAGTAAAAGAAAAATTTTTTAAAAAGTAACATAAAACATTGAAAGTCTATAAAAAGAAAACGTCACGACATTCTACAATAAGAATAAAGTACTGTCTACCATTCGGAATAAGTATTCCTTTTTACATAATGAATGTCATTATTGAATTCGCTTACAACAAATAGACTCGATTTCCATCATATTTCAAATTTATACAATTAGAAACAAAAGACAGTAAGATTTAAGTAACTTGTTTCATTTTCATTATTGCTGATAAATTATATTAATCATGGTAACCTTAGCACGAATGTAAAATATATATGTATGAAGTTGTGATATATGAATAAGAATTTCATTATAGAGACCTGTGCCATCACGATTACAGCCCAATGTTGCATTAAGAGATGTAAAGATAATCTTTCGAGATATGATATACGACGAAGAAGTTCAACTTCATTATCCTAGAAGGTGTAAAACAATGTTTGCGACAAGAAAATTAATTTAGACAATCCTTCGATATATACTATTAAGAAATAATATAAAGTCAATTGCTGTTTGCTTCGAAATTTTCAACAATGAAAACGATAAATAGTAAGAAAATGGAAAGAATAACTATGGAAAAAGACAGCATATTGAAGTACTGATATAAAAAAATTTTCTATTTAACCCATTTTATAATGTTTATCAAATAAGATATAAATTTATCATGTGATGGTCAGATATTGATTGATTCTTTGTATAATAAACAACAATCATTAGTGTTGACAATTGTTTAAGATTACTATCAATCAAATAAGCAAGGATGTGGGTTTAGATATGAATGAACGTAAGAGAGCACTCACACCCACACCCTCAATGGAGTAAACAAGTTCGAGTGTGAAAAGAAAATCTAACGAGATGTGAAAATAGAAAATGCTGATTATATGACGTGGTGGCAAATGAAGAGTCGTGGTTTTTTCATTAGCAAACGAGTCCATCCTGTTCATCGTTTTTTTGTGGAAACGATAAAAAAATTTCGAAACTCTTCCGTTATATGTGGGTGTGAGGTGTGGGTTTGGGATGCGAATGGGGTGTGAGTGTAGGTGTGGGTGGTGAGGCTGTTTATCTTCTATTCACTTACATCCACAACCATCCCACACCCACCCACACCCCACCCACACTCATCCACACCCACATCCACACCCATACCCACACCCACCCTCAATTTTTATTGATCATAGTGTCGAAATACCGCCGTATTTTCGGTCTTTTCTACTCTAATTCCAGTATGTCGATGGTGTTTGTTCAATCTCTTTCTTATTTTTCAAGTCATATTCTGAAATAATGTAAAAAATGCATCGATTCGTTTCTATCACTCGTTGGTTTAAGATTTCCTTACCCTCCATATATGGAGTTCAGTAGGTCCAAAACTTAGCTTTTGTTGATTTCTCGAGTATTCGACTCTAAAACTATCCCGAACTCGGCTTTAATCAGCCTTTTTGTGTTACTGTGATTAAGAAAATAATTTTAGATGTTCCTAACCCTATGCTAGACTTTCTAACGGTGTTTTTAGATGGCCTGGAGATTAGAAATGAATCATTTTATTTAATGGGACTTAATTAATACCTTCACTTAACCATTAATATTAATGGTTAATGTTTTTCTTTCAAAACTTAATTCATTAATATTAATGACTAATGTTCTCATTAAACATTAATCAATAATATCAATTCATTAATATTAATGGTTAATGAAAAAATCAACATTAATTTAATAATAATGTAAATGGTCCACCCCTACTGGAGATAATAACTGAAAAGAGACAAATGCCACCGTCCTATAATAAATCAGATTTTTCTGTATCAAGATTTCATTTTTCCGAATTTTCACCTTAAAGTGGAAACCACCATCAAATTCCGTGTCTAGTGAGGCTAGATTTATAAAAATTGGAAAAAAAGTTTTTGATAGTTCTTACACCGTCTACATGGTTGCTCACTGGACTGTGAAAGATGAAAGTCATTTTTGCACGAGAAAAAATGGAGTATTTTACTCAGAATTTGATGCTGATTCAGAATATGTAACTCTTTTCGATACATATTTTGGATAAGAAAAATGGCATTATCGATACTTGTCCTTAAAGATTTAATCCATCAATATGCTTTTTAGCAAGTTCACAAAATTTTTCAGGTGCAAAATCATTAATATTATGATGAGAACAAGTTGCTTCTTGTAATGCCATTGTTGATATTGCACAAGAAAATATTGAAAGCTATGTAACACTCAAGAAACTTTGCTTATAAAAATGAAAGAAATCGGTAATTAAATGATATAAAATAATCATATAAAAGGTGAACGAATTCTGCCTGGTCAAAATTGTAATTGACATAAGCGCCGAAAGAAAAATTTTGCCTAAAATTCGAATTTGCCTGTGGCAGATATTTCATATGAATCAAATTTATTATAATCAATTTATTTTTAAAAGAAATATAAATAGTGGATAAAGTATTTGTTAGCTCTCGTTTTGGGGATTATGTAGCAATGGTAAAACTAATATTTAGTCTGCCAAAATTAGAGAGCTAAACATGTTTTAATAATCGACTTTGTCGTCGTGTCATATATAGAATATA